CCTTAAATTTATTTCAGATATGACTCAGTCTCAAAGTAATTTAAAAATGGGTTAGTGGTTTTGGGATAAATTACCTTTCAGTACTTCAGAATGTTGTTTCACAAAACACCCTACACAATTGTTAATCATATAGATAGTAAAAAATTAAGTTGTTTACGATAAGTAGAAGTCTGGGAAGAGATTTACTGTGATAGCATCCCTGAAAAGATTTTCAGAAATGTATTTGCTTTGATGCAAATCATAGTTGTTTGTCCATTGCACTTTCCATGTATAGTGAACCCAGGGACTGAAAAGAAACATTACAATTCAGTAAAGAAACAATGCCAAATGCTTAATGTCTTATTATGAATGAATTTTCAGTCCCTAATGACAATTGAAATTGTCTTGACAGGAACCTGGGTAAAAGAAACACTTCTAATTGTTAATGCCAACAACAAAATTAAATAAATGCCCGCACAGGGAGTGGTAGATCAACTTTGGAATGAGTATATTTATCAGGATTTATTTTTTCATGAGACAGATTATACTTAATATGTGATTTTCAATCACCATGATGAAGCTCCACACTGTTGGTCTAGAGAGCATGTTGCAGGGTGATACCATAAATTTATTAAATAGAGTGTGTTTTGTGACAAAGTAGATCATCCAATCAAGGAAAAGATACAAGTACTTGGCTTTAGGCAACAAAACACCTATACCCAAAGGAGTACTTGCAAGCAGTCAGTTTGCAATAACACAGGCTATAAGTTGCCTGTGCAGAATAATCAGCAAGTAGTTGGGAGGAACAAACAAATGGTAACAATCATTGTCTGCTCACAGGTAATTACCATAAGAAGAAAAAGAACTAAAGTCATCGAATAAAATGTACATAGATTGTTTACTCAGCCCTATTAGCAGCAAGCAGCACGTTCTCATTAAAACTAAAAGAAGAGAAATAAAACATTGCTTAGAGCCTCAGTGAAACAGTGATATCAGTTTCCACATTACCTGGCATTTTAAAGAACACTTGCAGAAAACAAGAATTCAAAAGGACCCCATAAATACTCTTGCAAGTTTACTTATTCTGTACAGATTATGCACTATGAGTTGAATACAGTTGCCACTGCCAAAGATTTCACTGAAATGTGATCAACTATTTAGAGCTGGATTTCACCCCTTCTGATGTCAAGAACAGTCTGCTTTTTATTTTGATAAATGTTAGTAACTGGCACCAGGAAAAGAGGTAAAAATTCTAAACTCCAGTCAGAGCAGCAAGAAACTTTCAATGGTAATTTTTTAGGAGAAAATCCTTTTGCAGTCATGTTTCTTTTTTGAATATGTTTCTGCTTCTTCATTGTTTTAACTTTTTTTTTTTTTTGTGCCTATATTTTCTTTTTGTGGTAGGTGAACTTAATTTTTATCTTCTTTAAAGAATTTTTTTTTGGCGTAAATGAATCTTTCCATTTACTCTTCAACCATTTTTCAGCTAGTCCAAGAAACCTCTTCCACAAAATAATAAAAGCACAACTGAACAAATCAGCTTCTCTTTACTCATATAGAGAGTCTGTGAAGATTTCACTTCCCTCAGGGCTATAGGTAAGCAGGCATTAGAGAAGTAACTGGAGAGCTGTAAGACTGCTTTTGCTGCTGCACCATTCATTCTATTCTATCCAATCTATTAAGGCAGATTGTCCTTAACAGGAGTCACACAGGCCAGGATTGCAATTTGTAGTTTGATTTTACAGACGCTACCTATAGTTTATGCACACATGTATGAACATATGTATGACAATGTACGCACATACAGACATACTTTTATTGATATCCACTTTTCTCTGCTTATTTTAGTCTGCCTTTTTCTCTTGTCTGAAACAACTCTTCTTTTGAGCACTTTAAAGATACTTGCTAACTTTATGACAAAGCTAAATTCTGATCCATAAAAAAACAAACTGCTTCTACTATTGGCTAAGATTAGTTTCTGAACTGCCCTTTCAAGACAGTCTTTTTATAATTTTTAAACAAAATACACAACAAAGGCATCCTTAAAACCACTTTTACTTAGTAGGTCATACAAGTGAGTCCACAGGGAAAGAACCTTATTCATTATTTACATTTTAGTAGCACACCTTGTGTAAGGTTCTGTCCATAGAGACAGCCAAACAGGTGGTTCCATTGATTTCCTGCAGCACTCCCAAGAACAGGTTTTCAAAAACCCCCCAAAGGGCTGTATGCCGATGTCTGAAGTAGAAGAGCAAGGAGATGGTATCTGGCTATATACCTCGGTGTTGCAAGCATTACTTAGGGCTGTGCAACATACCATGGGGCAGAATTCTCCAAACTGGCTTGAAAAGTTAGTTCTAGAGCTAGAAATAGCTTAGGGACATAAATTTATTGTGCAAGCTAATTACCCCAAATGAGAGGGAAGCCTGATTATCTAGGACGGTATTCCCTACTAGATGTACATACCATTCTTATGGTGATTCCATGTAGATCATTGCTGCTTACACTTTTCAGATTTAACCAACTTTTGCTCCCAGTGAACACTGGTGTGGGCTTGGATTTAGCAACTGGGGTAACAAAAAAAGCTTTAATATCTATGGCATTTTTTCCTAGGTTTACCATAGATATATCTCTAAATTCAAGGATCTCATCTTTCTTTTCTTGATCTTACTGCTCAGAATCAGTGTGAGAGACAGAAGTAATTCACAATTCCAAATGTAATAGGGGGTTAGAAGAAAAACATGCTATATTTTTCTGAAGATATATTTCCCTTAAGAGTCAAATAGATTTCAAATTCTTCATAAAGAAAAAGATTAAGCAACTTTTTTTCCCGGCCCATCTATAGGAATGGAAACTTGGGAAATGCCTGGAAAAAAACATAAAGAAGCACTTAAAAATTAGGCATAATAAGCAAAATTGGTAGTGGTTACTGAAATATTGCACTTGACATGTTGATTTGACAGGACAATGAGATATAAAGGAAAAAGAAGCATAAGAAATTAATCTTATAATAGGCATGAGGAAAATGAAGGAAAGGATAAGGAAGGAATTTGTGTACTTTAGGGCTCAGGAAAAATTATTCTTCTGGTGAAGTAGCTCTACACTCAGATGAGTTGAGCTGATTCTTATTGTCTTAGGATGTCCAAGGCTGAGATTGCTATGGTTTTTCTTCAGCAGAGAAGACAAACAGAAAGATGAGCTGTACCTTTCACTGGAATTTTTCTTTTTTTTCTTCAAAACTAATTTCTTAAAAATCAGAGTTATTTACCAGCAGTCTCACCTCCAATCTTCTCCAACTCTTCCTTGTTATCCCATAGCTCTCAAAAGGAGAAAGAGTAAAATGTGAGATGAACAGTAAGATTAAAAAGGCTTCTGGGGATCAATGCCATCACTATCAAGGAGAAGAGGACATGGGTTTATGGTCTGAAGGTCAGTTCAGTGCTTTTTTCCAGAGGAGCCATTTCCTGGAACATAAACATGTAATTTAAAGTATATTGTGTCAGCAGCATTTTTGGGGCCTGATCCAGCAGCAATAATTGTAAGTTTCCAGGCAAGGTGGCCTTTGGGTTCTCATTAGTGCAATAGGGTTGCAATTGCATAGTCATTTGCACTGCTGCTCTGTGTGATCAACCTTTGGCAGCTCACCTATCCATCAAGAGGCCAACCTGCTGCAAACATGGGGGCACACGTCTCCTCCTTGCCTCCTGCCATCACTGTATTTTGCCAAGTTGCTGCCACACTGTTTAAGGAAGAAAACATTACATGAAAATGGTTTTTCTGTTTTCAGTGTTCTAATATTATCTCTGATGAACTCTATTTACCCTTTATCCTGTGTAAGGCTCCCGAAGAAAATAATGTGGTTAAAGGAAAAAGCATTTGTTTTGAGTTCTTATCCACTGTATGAGACTAGGGTTGAGATGTGATAAGAGAAATTAGTAACATGAAGCCCAAAACTAGGTAATTGCTAGGTAGGATAAAAATGCTGTAGCCCTTAAATGTTACCATTTTCCTCTGTAGGATGCACATTGTCTGCCATGTGGCTTGGAATTATATTCAGCTTGCTGTTCCCTTATTCATAACATAACTGCATTCATTTAACAGAGCCCATTTTTAGCTACTAGAAAAAAAAAATTAAAATCCCTCTTCCTTACCCAAGTGAGTTTTACATCTCAGTTATTTCTGTGCTTAGTCACATTCTTTCAAAGCTTAAAGTGTCTGCTGGACCCAAACACCATCAGCTGTGTCTAGAGAGTGCATACACATGCATTTAGACACACACCCACGTACATATGAAAATACATTACTCATTCAAATCTATCTCTGTGCATTAAAACATATTTTTACACATAAGTGCATTAACATAGAATTTGTTATGCGTCTACCTTTAGTTCTGATAAAGCAGATAAACTGATGAACTTTGTGTCTTTATCAAGCTGCAGAGAAAGACGGAATTGAGCTACAGCATATGTGTGTATACGTACATGCGTGTGTACATGCACATGGATATGTGAGCTGTGTGTGCCTACTGACACACAAGAACAGCCTCCACAGTCATCCTAATTTGTGAAGCATGCTTTCCTGTTAAGGCACTATGAACAGCAAATGAAGTAGAAAGCACCCAGTACTTCACAAGTCAGATGCTATCTTGAGGCTCCAAGGATTTCTTAATTGAGTAGGGTGAGGTCAGGAGCTAAAATGACTGAGCAGCAATGATGTGTGCAAAAGCATTTTTGCTGCTTCAATTTCCATTCCTGACATCCAGGAAACATCTCTCAGAGAAAGAAGAAAACCTTTAGAGCGTCACCAGTGCAGGAGGACGGGAGTTTACACTGAACAGTTGAAAGAATAAAGAATGTATCCAATGTAAAGATTTATGCAAGAGAGCACAGGCAGCATTAGTTTGCAATAGTGAAATCAGGATACTGGGCTTATTTCAGCTCCTGTCCCAAATATACAGTGTGATCACTTTATCTTTCTTTATCCCTTTATCTTACAATTAAATTGGAAATGCTTTGTTGCAGGCATTGAACTCTGTACAGCTCTAAATAAAATCAAGACTCAAGTCACGACGAAGGCCACTGAAAATATCTGGGTAAATATCATACATATGTAAAACAATGGTCAAATCTCTTGATGCCTCAGATGATTAATAGCCTGAAATAGGAAGTAATGCTGATAAATTAAGATAGATTTTACAAACACAGTGAGCAGTATTCTCCTATGTTCATATCAGAAAACAAGTGTTCTAATTTGTGCATTCTTGTTGCTTTTAATTTGACTACTAGTGTATAAATTGTTATATAACTCTGTGCTGGAAGAGACATATGTCATGGGCCATCAGCATGACCTTGCTCCCCATGCCAGTTTCATACCACCAGTTGTTTAAATAATCTTAATTTCCTCAGTCTTTAGGAACTTTTTGTAGATGACCTTTGAACCTAATAACTCAGAATTTGAATTAGAATTCTGCTTTTTGTTTGAATCTAGGGCTGTATAAATTTGCAATTACATTTTCCATGAACTTTAGAAGTACTTTCATGATGGATAATGCACTAAATGAACAAAAATTTTTGATTACTTCTTAAAACTGGGAATATCTTGAGGAAAAAACAGTATTAACAGACATCTTCTAAGAAATTAATTGTTAATTTGCCTCACAGAATGTGTGCCAGGTGACTATAATATCTCATATTTACCAGAATTACTACAGTTTACATGACTCTACTATGCCCTTTTTCCACAGATTGTACCAGAACTTTCTCTGTTGCTCCCTCTTTGTTTTTTCTTTTCATCAGCTATTATTTTATATATTTTATATTTCTCACTCCTTCAGGTCTCCCTTTCATTACATTACTGATTCTGTACCTTTCTACAGCCTTTCTTATTCCACAGGTTCTTAAATCCACATCTACTTTCTCTTTCATCTGCTTTTATTATCCAAGTCCAAGATCCCTGTTTCTTCATATCCATCAAGATGGAATATCATCAATTCCATCTTGATTTTGCTGATACCATACAATATCTAACTGGCCACCAATTGAAATTTGATTGACTGGCGGAGCACAGAAAGGACTGAAAAAGCTGTTATTTAAGCCTTTTCAGGGCCAGCTTTTTGAAGTGCACCAAAAGAATGGAGACCATCAAACTCCAGCACTTGTCAGCAAATTTAAAACTCACTGTGTTTAATTAGTTTTGGAAAAATAATCTTACAAATCTTGCCTTCTCTATATACTGAGACAGTATAGCTACAGAATCACTGCAATCTACTCTGGAGTGCTGAACCCTGGCAGTGAAATTTGAATGTTCCTCTCTCCGAAATCTTTTTTGCTGCAGCAAATTTTCAGTATCATTGAAGTCTTGGCATGCTAGTTTATGTATAATTAATATGGACCACTTAAGTTTCCATTGAAAAACACCAAAGAACCATGGTTTATGTCATTTGGATGTTACCTTGCCAGCAAAGATTAGGAGTTGAGATTCTGTCATGCGTTTAACTTTTTTATGGGGCGTTGAGTAACCAGATGATGAAAAGCAGGACTTTCCTCCCAGAAAATAAATCTTTAGTGAATTCCTCAGGTCTTTGAACACAGAAAAAATAAAGTAAAATCAAGACTTGTACCACACACTATGTTTATCCTAAATTAATACAAAGTAGACAGAAGTTAAATATTTTAGATATGACCCATCCACTGGGGAAAGAAATTTTGCATAAACACTGTCAGATTTCAAAGAAGTGTTTTTCAATAAGCCATAAAATTAATATCTGAGAACACTGCTCTGATGAAATTCCCCTCCTACATGGGACCTCATCCTTCTGAACTTTGGTTGAAAATTTCATTTAAAATCAGGCTCTACAAGCCTGGTTGCATTTTTTAAGAAAGAATTAAAGACATCTCTTATGATGAGGCTTGGGCAAACAAAGCAGCATGGATAAACCAAAATGACTGAAAATTTTTCCCTTCTGTGCTCTGACTTAAGCCCCTTTCAAGAACAAAACAGAATAAATAATATTGGATTTATATAATGTATCTTTCTGGTGAGATCAGGAAGAAACACAAATAAAAAGGTAAAATTACTATTTCAAAATGGTCTTCAGGAATAATCTCTATGCTTATTTTCTCTGGCTCTGGGTCCAAAAGAGACCAGACAGCACTTTGAGAAAGAATAAAAAGGTACTGTTAAAAAAGGTGAACTTAATATTTTGGTAGAAGAAAGACCATGTTTTCTTCATTCTCACAGAGTTTGCTGCTTTGTTTCCAGGCTTTGTATCAGCAGAGGTTTGAGTTCATTATTAATCTTGGAAAAGGAAGACAACTCTGGTACCCTAGTCAGATTGATTCCCATGATCCATCAGGTTCTCAGGCACTATCCCTCATTGTGTATGTGAGTTGACTAAAACACCAGCTAATTACTTTGCATTGTATTCCACTGCAACAGAACAGGGAGCCTTTCAGAGCTTCAGGCACATCAGAAAATACAGGTGGCTGCTCATAGAAATGTTGAAATTCATAAAAGATTCAAATACCCCTTTTTAAACTTAAGTTTTAATTTGGTTCATTTTCATACTGTAAAATAACTTTTGATGTCACATGATGCTTTCTATGGCTAATATTTAATATATTATACAAGGTGTCAGAAAAAAGCTGGGTATATTGTCTGGGGACGTTTGGAACATTTGGCAGTCAGCAAGCATAAGAGGCAGCTCAGATTTTCAGTATCAGTTTATTAAAGTCATATGTCTTAAAAATCATTACAGATTTCTGCGCACAATGAGAAAAATGTTCATTCCTAGCTGAGATAGTTAACACCTCATTAGAAGGAGGAGATTACTTGCTTTTCAGGAGAAGAATGAAAGTAAGAGCAATGGAAGATCTGAAATACAAGAGGTTTTGTTTCCAAGTTTCACTAGAAAAACATTAGCTGTGATCAAATGGCTGAACTAGCCTCATTCACAGCAGGATAAGAACTCAGTCCAATACAGAACTGCTTAGAGACTCCTTGTAAAAGTTTGGTTGAAACTAAATTGAACAAAAAAAATTTAGTCTAGAACCCCTAAGGAGTATCTGAAACATGCTCAAACAGTATTGCAGCTATCTATGAGAACATTTTCAGGACACTTGGAACAAGCAGAGTACTGCTCTGTATAAGGAGAGGTAGGAGGAAGCACAAACCAGAAAATTATGGATCAGACTTTCAGAGTTCCTAGTAATATAAAAGGTATGGATAAATATAGATTATGTATAGATTATCTACATGTATCTACATGTATACATGTAGATAGACATAAAAATCATTATATTTATAAAACTATTAACAACAAACCAACCAACCAAACAAAAATCTGGTTTTAACATTCTAAAGAATAAGTTGGGAAGTAACAGCCAGCACAGACTTGTCAAGAAGAAATTTTATCAGGCCAATCTGATAAAGTTTTCTGAGGAAAGGTGCCTGATAATGTGTGGAAAAGAAGGTGAAGGCATCATAGTTGAAGAGATTAATAGGTAGCTTATAAATCTGGACAACATTCAGAGACAGAAAAATTATAACTTTCAGCACCCAAAAAAATTTGAATGGAATAAACTTTCTATTTATTCCTTACAGATAGAACAGGAAGCAATGGGTTTAAATGACACCAAGAAAGATTTGGATTGGCAATTTGAAGATACCTTTTCAGCTATAGGCATAGGAGAGCACCTATATACACCAAGGGAGAATGTGCAAACTTCTGCCACAGGAGGTTTTCAAGAACTGGTGAGACAAAAATCTGTCAAGAATAGTTTAGTCATAGCTGATCTTGCCTTTGGGCAATAGGATGTATTAGATGACCCCTTGGGACTTTATTTACTCTGATTCTGTGATTCCCATGTAAACATTACACTGTTGACTCAAAATCAATTAATGTCCAGAAGCTTATATAAATTATTTTTAAGGGGGGATAAAACCACCAAAAAACCATACACTTAAAGAAATGTTACATGTGAGGGTTGGACAGTTTTCATTGTTTTACAAAAACCATAAGGGTGAGGAATGCTTGAATGAAACTGCATCTCCATGACGATCTTCTGCCTCCATGCTGTCTGCTGGCTACAGTTACATTTCACAGTATATTTAGGCACCTCCCTTTTTCACTACCCACCATTTCAGCATCCTAGTTGTAGCAGAACTTTCAACTCAAATAGTTTAGTATCTGGAAAACTGCCCAGAAGTAAAGATTCAAGCTAAATTATTTGTGTAATGACATCCCTCCTGAATACATCCCTGTTATCCTCAATGTCCACAACAATTAGGTTTGCCCATGGGATATAAGAAGACACCCAGATGGGCTTTTGAGGGTGCAACAGCTTTTGAGGGGGCAAGGATCACATGACAAAGGTATGGCTTCTCATAAGGGCTTGGCCAACCTGGTTTCTCAGTCTTGGGAGCTGAGTTTGCTTTAGGAAGGGCATTGTTAAGAGCATGAGAAGTCTGAAGAAACCTCCAAAAGCATTTTATTCTATATAACAGAGGCAGTTATCTGGCACTGAACACTGAACAGTCAGGATCTCCATTACTGCTTTGCTCCAAAGATTTCATTTAATCCTCTTTACTTAAAGCACTTACCTGAGGAAAATAAAATAAAATTTAGCTACTTTAATCTCCTATTTTCCAACTCAATAATACTGAAAGATTCAGAAAATTGAAGTTACACTTCCTTTTGACTACAGAGAGAGCCAAGGCAGGCCAAGGCCCTCATTCAAGCACATCAGAGAAGTCTGTCAAGACAGGAGTGAGGAAGGTAAAGTTCTGGGTCCAGGTTATCTGCGTAAGTCAAGAGAGATGAATTAGGGCTAACTCCTCAACACTTCACTCATCAGCCAGGATAACTTTGCAGTGTGTAGATCAATTGGATGTTCTACAGAAAAGTACAAAGACTCTTACAACAATGTACCCTCAAAACCGCTATTCTGTTTTCTTGATCTTAGAAATGTGTGATAGGAGGTCTCTGCAGCAAGCATGCAACTTTCAAAAATAGGAAGGGTTCTATATTATCACAATGAGACATGAAAGTATGAAGGTGCAGGGAGTAGAGAAATTTGAAGGCATTGTCATGATCTCTGTTGTTGGGTTGCATTTTCTGCAGGAGTATCTTTCTGCTCAAGACCACTGCCTCCCTAAGACTGATGCTATTTTTTTTTTTTTATGGAAGAAATAATTGTTTACAGAAGTTGAGTTCTTATTCATGTTCAGCTCTTGGGAGGGAATTGGGCCCCATAGCAGGAAGTACTGCACATCTTGAGAAAGCTGCAGCTGCCTTTTGCAGACTCCAGAGGCATATAAAGTTCTGACTGTGTTTGTATCTTCAATATACTGAACACTATCTAAACTGAAACAAACTTCAGAAGCTGCTGGGGATCCAGGATCATTATGGCAGATGTCTGAAAAAGAGAGATTATCATGTATTAACTTGTGTGTGTGCGTTTATGTGCATCATTGTGCAGATTGATAAACACACAGTTATTCACTAGAGCAAGTGGTATTAGGTAGCTGTGAAATAGAGCCAGGTGTACTCAGTTTTAGTAGGGAGAGAACACAAAAAATGTACTCTCTATTCTACAGCAATTCAGTTGGTAATGATGATTGCTGGAGACCCCTTTAGATCAACTTGGCGGTGGCATTATGGCTGCTCTGTGGGTATTTTCGAAGACAATCTAACTATGAAAAAAACCAAGCAGAATTACTAAAATGCAGCAAAGTCCTTGGGTGGCTGAGCTTCTCACAGTGAAAAAAACACAGTGTCTTAAGTAATCCAAGACACACAGTTCTGCATCAAGAAAAGTTTCTTAATTTCCAGTGCATCACCAAAGTTAATATAATTGCAAATAGAACTTCTTGTAAGTCTCATCTTTTCTTATGGTCTAGTAATTTTCCAATATTGCACCTTTAAAGTACAGAGGTACAATGTGATAATCCCAGTTGGATCCAAAATCTAATTATTACAGTGAAGGAACACAAAATAAAACAAAAGCATAAAATTCCTCATCAGAATGAACAAGGTTGATACAACTTCAAGTTCACTTCAACACTCAAAGGAACTCAAAGGGCTAGAAATGTGTTTATAATGATATATACTATGTCAACTAGTTCTACACAGCAGTTGTGAGGCTGCACCTGGACCACTGTGTCCAGTTTTGGTCCCCACAAGTGAAAAATAGTGCAGATAGACTGGACAGGGTGCAAAGGAGGGCCACGGAGGTGATCAAAGGGCTGGAGAACCTGCCTTAAGAAGAAAGACTGAAGGAGTTAAGTATTTTCTGCCTGAGGAGAGAGGGCTCAGTAGGGAGCTCATCACAATATTCCACTAGTTTTTGGATGAATACAAAGATGACAGAGGCTCCTCTTCACAAGGAACTATGCAAAGAAGACAAACGGCAGTGTGTAAGAGCTGTAGTGGGAAAGGCTTCATCTGGGCATAAGAAAGGAGGTTTTTCCAGTGAAAACAGTCATTCCCTGGAACCACTGGTCATGGCAGTCCCCATTACAGGGCAGTTTCCAAGAGGCAATTGAACAGAGTTTTAGATAATTTTATCTGGGCTTCGTTTTCCACTGAATGTTGGACTGGGTGATCTATCAAGGTTCTTTCCAACCTATGTTGTTTTATGATTGATTCTATAAACACAAAGAAAGCACAGATCTGTTTCTTCTCTTTTACTATCATCTTACGTTGCTTTTCTTAACAGCAAATAATTCACAGCTTTCTATTAGACGAAAGGAGTCTATTCTTTCAAGAATATGCATGACAAATGCTTTCTGGCAGGGATGAAGCTCCTGTGTCAGGTATTCCAGATTTTACTGCAAGACCTATCTTTTTACTACCTGTTTGTATGGAATTATGTTAGTCTACAGTGATTTTTTGTGTATTGTGTATTATGTATACATTGGTTTATGTGTCTGAAAGAAAAGCTCAAAACTTATTCAGACAACTTAGATCTATCTGCTCCAAGGTTCTCAGCTTCACTTTGGAATTGCAGTTGTAGTTTAAGTCTGAGACATTATCTCTGCATTTGAATTCAGTGTTTCTCTTTTTTTTCTTTATAAATAAACTAATCCCAGAAATGAGCTGCTAAGCATTCAGTTGATGAAGAGGTAAGTAAGCAAGCTCCACTTTGAGTATCGTGGCTTACTCCATTTAGTAGATGATCATGGCTCACTCCATTTAGTAGATTCCTAGACTTTGATGTCTAGGTTCAGCTCAAAGAAACTTTTTCCTACCCTCCATTTTTGTATAATGACTCCCAGGTGGCAGCAGTTGCTGGGGAAGATAGGTTCTCCTAGCACAAAATGGTTTAATGCTTCATAGCACACTGCTGAGAACCAGAATTTGAGGTTTTGGTCTCTGTTTCAAAGACTGTGCATGCACTTGACTTTAAATGAGAAGATGCTGAAATGGCGTTGGGAGGAGAGAATCTCCCAGTTTGGTGTCTAGACTTTCCCCCAGTCTCATCTGGAAAAATACTTAAGAAAAAAGTTATATGGAATTTTGGCATATTTGATTTTTCAAAGTTGAATTCTCAGAGCTCGTCCACGGCTGATGTCCAACCTTAGCTGTGTTTTCTTGCTGTTCCTTATTACTTGCTCATGAGTAGTGATTTTGATAGGCTTGGGCAGTTAGGCTCCCAGCAAATTCATGCCTAAATTCCTTTTAAGTGTGCATGCTAAATTTTCTTTTTCCCTTCAGTGTATGGACATTCATAAAATGTATCTGACAATTTACAAAACCTATTGAGAAAAGCAAAAAAGCAAAGACATTTCCTTGATTTTCCCTGCTAGCTCAAGTTTATGAAGTCAAACACAAGAGTGCAAGCACAATTTTTTATATCTCCCATTGAAGAGAGGTGCTTTTGACATCTAGAGCCTTTTCTATACTTTTCATTTCAAGATAAATTTGATAATATATATTCTTTCTCGATATCATCCTGGTGCTATTTAGAAATTTCTCTGATCTTTCTAAATAGACTGCAAACAACAATGAGGAAGTAAAACAATATTTTGTATTGCTGACATAAACGGAGAGATCACTGTTGTAGTCAAAGGTAATAACAGACTTTGAAGTTTCCAGTTTTGTCTTTATATATTTTTAGTCACTCTATGCAACATTATCTTCTAGTTATCCTATGTTATTGAGAAATTATAAAAAAAGAGTCTAAACCATTATAACATATTTATACTAAAAAAAGGTATGGAGTACATTGTGCAAGGGAGAAGAAAAATATGGATATTTACTAGAAAAATTACCATGTAGCCAGTTAATAGAAGATTATAGGGAAAAGAATGAAAATTATACTTGCTAATTTGTACTGAGCTGTTAGAGAAATACCTTTGGAGGCTATGTAAGTGATTTTTTAAATACAAAAAACAGTGAGGCAAGCAAATCCATCACTTAATGCTCTTTGCTCATTTTAATTGAAAATACTTTTTGCTTCTTTCCCCATACCTGAACCACTTGCTTTATGTTTTTTCTCCTAGTGTCTTTATATATTGTTATTTGTTTTGTTTTGGAGTTTTTTTGGGTTTGTTTTTTAAATTTTCACAGCCTGCTCCACAGCAGAATACCCTCCACATGGATATTCCTGAAGGACCTGCAGCCCATGAAGAGGCCATGTTGGACCACAAAGGACTGCAGTGCATGGGAAGGTCTCACACTGGAGTGGGGAAAAAAGTGTGTGGAGGAAGAAGCAGCAGAGAGAAGCTATCGGGCTGACTGCAGCCCCTCACTCTTCATCCCTCTGAGCTACTTGGGAAAGAGGATATATAGGAGCCAGAGATGAGGGAGTGAAACTAACCTGGGGAGGAGTAGGCTTTAGTTCTTGTCTGTATCTTAGTTTTTGTCTGTTCTTGTCTGTTTCTCACCATCAAACTATAAATTATTTGCTAATCAGTTTATTTTCCCCAGATTGAATCTGTTTTGTCCATGGCAGTAACTTGCTAAGTGACCATCTCATCTTTATCTTGACGCACCAGCTTTTCCATCTTATTTACTCCCTCTGACCTGTTGTGGAAAGGGAGTGAGAGAGCAGCTGGGTGTGCATCTGACAGCCAGCCAAGGTCAAGACACCACAGATTCTTTCATTCTCTGGAACTTGCAGGAGAACTTGAAAGCAAACAGATTTTATCTAGTCAAATAATATTCTGTTTTTTAATTATTTGTGTCACTGTGAAACCTAATGCATGTTTCTCTCCTTCAGGTTGAGAGACAGAGTTTGTGGAAATTATAATTTCTCCTAGTTTTGGTATAAGAAGGAATTTTAGTCCGCAGACCTCAGTCCCTGATGTGTACATGTCACTGAAGCAGTATGTAAGGCCAGCTTGAAAGAAAACGAAAAAAAAATTATTTGACTAAGAATGAAAAATATAGATTTAATTAGGGCAACAATTAATAACTAACCTCTGAGTCAAACTATTAATGGGGGGGGGGGAAGTACTCCTTTTAAAATACAGTGACAAAGTAATTGCTTCTGATAGTGTAATTCTTTGGTCAAGGCAAAGATCACATATATTATTGTCCTTCCCAAAGAGTGACACATAACAGAAGGTGAGTACACTCTCCTAATCTGGACACATGTACATATGAACATGATCTTTTAAAAGTGTTTAAGAGTGACATGCAAAAGTGGTGACCTTCTGATGAAAAAAACATATCAGTGAGCATGCGGCTGCTGGGATGACTTGGGCTTTTGATCCATTTCTCTTTAATTTCAGTTTCAAAATCTGTTTGTAAATATTAAATGGTCTGGATTCATTAACCAATGAGTTAGTCAGCTAGCCAAACCCTCCAAACTCTTATTAATCTATTATTTATTTTACTGAGTGCATTGTGTAGCTCAGCTATTGAATGTACAGGTTTCAACATTCTAAGTTCAAAGTGTAGGGGTTTTTTTCTCTGTGAATGTCAGAAAAAATTATGTATCTATTTGTTATTCAGAGGCTTCTCTGAGGATTAACAACTTAGTACTGGCTCCAATTCATGCTCTTCTGCAGCAATATTTCCTGTCCATTTGGCTTCAGAGGAATATTTTCTCTCACTGTTTTGGCCATCATGTAATAGAGAAATCTGCACAGTTGTGCGGGCCAGATTCGTGCACACAAAGATGTGCCCAACAGCATCTTTTTCCCCAGTATAAACTTGACATAGAGAAAAGATTCATCACCGTCTAACTTGTAAAATTAAAAAAAATTATTTACATTTAAGAAACAGTACACTGAATTAATAGTATTGGGTAGAAATATAGGAGTGACCAATTTTTTTTTTATGCAAAAGTACCATAAATGAGAAAACTTTAGCTTTGAAGACTTAAATGCCTTTGTGGGTAGAAACGCTAGAAAAAAGACAGGTACAATGATTATATAATTTTAGAAAACACAGAGACAACTGTATCTCACACTTTTTTGTTTGTTTGTTTGTTTGCTTTCCAGAAGTGATTATTGTAAGGGCCAAGTTCCTAAGGAAGGCCCTAAGGTAGGTGTTAAACATTCAGGGCCAGTTATAAACACAAAGGCAGCCAATGACTTAACAGAAGGAATCATTTTACCAAAGGTAAAATAGACAGATAAGGTCTGCCTATTTAGCTGACTCTTATAAGCAAGTAACCATTCAGAAGGAAAATATAGGTAAAATCAAAAATATTTGTGCATTTTGGTACAAATACCATTGTATTTTGGTACCCTGGGGTATTGTCATTCAAATATATAATCCAAATGATGAATTGAAAGGATATTTTTCAAGCTGAGAAAATTGAAAATATTAAAAGTCATCTTGTTATTCTGAAAAAGAGCAGCTTATCAACAGCACTGCAAATATCTTAGGAAAAGGCATTCAATATAACAAAATGAGTACTTGTCATGTTGCATGGCAAAATGTATGAAAAGAGACTCAAGACATTGAGTCTCAGATATAAAGTATATATATTTATGAGTTGTGTGTGTGCTCTTATGAATTTTTATGTGTATTTATTAGGAATTTTGTTATTAACATAAATTTACTGTTTAATAATCCAATATTTTAATTTTAAATATTTAAAATATAAATTATAAATATTTTAATATTTTAATGTATTCCCATGTCCCATGAGAGGCAGAGTAAACTTCTCTTAGATCCTGTTGCTGCTGATCACCTGGGCTCAATGGCTTGTGAAGTCTTGGAATAAATACTCTTCTTGAAAATTAAAAATTGTGATTTCTTAAAGAGGTAAATGAATGTGTGAATGCTATAAATAGAACCTAGAGACAAAGGCTACACCAAATTTTTAGTTTCATATATTTGAACTTGCCCTTCATTCACAAAAATAATTTGGGATTCATATACTGTACTGCAAGAATTCCATACTTACTGTTTTTTTTTTAATATAAGGAATTCTTAGATAAAGTAAATATTTTGGTTTTACCCTTTACACAGTTTTAAATTTACATTTGCTTTCCAATTGTCCTATGTCACAGATGAAGGTGAAATAACTTGATTTTCTTGCAAAGGAATGAAACAACCTGATAACATTATAAAAGTCGACTAAGTACTTAATTTCAGTGCTTTACAGACAAGTAGATAAACACATTAGATTATTATTAGGAATATTAATTAGTGTGTCACTTTGACACATAACACAGATCAACTTGTACTAGCATGTATTGATCAAAATTTTCAGATCATTGGTTTACAGAAGTAAAAAAATCACTAACTGCAAAGTTCCATCATCTTTTCTTTATTTATCTCACGTTCCTGAAAATATAAATACACAAATATAGTTGCCATAATAAGATATATGCAAGGAGTATAATTCCACAAAGCATTGAGATTCACTTGCCCTCTACAGACCTTTAGATATGACTAAAATCTAAAGCTAAAGTTACCTTTAGATACATTTGGATATGGGTAAAGGCACTAGAAGTAAATGCTGTGGCTATTGTGTCTTAAGTGAAAATTCTGCCTTTCCTTAGAGGGATTTGAGAATGAATGCTTCTCGCTTAGAGCTGCTGGAAATGAGAACCAAATATTTCTCCATCAGATTTTGTCTCTGCTTGTTCAGATCCAATTATTAGGACTATTAGAGAGATGACTCTACCCGAATTAAGGTGCAAACAAGACCATATGCCAAGGCAATATTATAGATTTTATTTAATAGTAAATGTGAGGTAAAGAGAGGCAAAAAGAAATAGGAAAGGGGTGGGGAGACAGGTAGGAGAGAAAAAGAATGAGAGGCTTATTAAGTAAAAAGATATCACCACCCATGGGTCCAGACAGTTTTTCATTGGTCCTTTTTTTCTGGTGTTCTCATTGGTGGGGGTCCACAAAACAGAGTTCAATGGGTTAATAAATGTTCAGGTGTTCTTTGGAATGCCCAAGCACTTCCCCTAGGAGGGGGAATTTTCACCCTGTCTTTTGCAACCTGGGGGGTCCCCTGCATTGCTCTGGTGGCAGGGGCTCAGGACTGGGCTGTGGGCTGTGGCCTCCCCATGCTGGAGCTGGCCAGAGCTGATTTTCAGCACACCTGCAGAATTGGCTTTCCTAGCAGGCACATTCTTCTCCCCCAGCTTTACTAACCTCTCCTTAGAACTGAGATAACTGGACAAAGCACCACCTTTTTCTTATCTCAAATTCATGTTGGGTAGCTTGTAACGCGCGAGCTGCTCCTCCCACCATGATACCCCGAGCGGTGGCGTGCTGGGCGGCGAGAGGGAAGAGAACGGGTGGCTGCTCCCCCTGTGAAGCTCTGCGGTCCCAGTTGTTGGCGCAAGGACAGACGAAGGCGACACGAGACTTGGAGGTGAACACGATGGTTTTATTCAGTGACCCCCCAAGACCCTCCGGGGAGGGCAAACAAAGGTTTTATACAGGAACTCAACAGGCGGCGTTTAGGAACAGTAACCAATGAGGGTAGGGCTGGGGAGGAGTCTAAGGAGGGACTAACATATCACAAACCTATCAGGGGAAACAGGGGAGTGGAGTAACACAAAGTAACCAATAGGGTGTTGAGCCTCACTAAAGAGACAGGGAATGCTCTGGAAGCAGGGGAGGAGGCTAGGAGGAGTGACAAGGAATGTTCTGGGGAAAGGGGCAGGGAAAGGGAGGATTGACAGCTTGGAGAGGAGGGGGTTAGGGAAGAGCTTGGGAAGATTGATAGCTGGGGAAGGGAGGAGATTAGGGAGGGGGGGGTTGAACATACACAGAACAAATATCAAATTAAAGAAAAACACACCACAACAGTAGCTTAACTCACAGTCCAAATCTCCAGGTGTTTGCAGAGGCATATTCGGGGAGGGGAGGTGATTTCAGATGAGCAGTTGCTTCTTTGCACTGTTTGCTACAGAGGGCAAAGTCCTACTGTGATCTTAACACTGTTTGAGGCAATCATGATCTTTAAGTCTTTTACACTGCTACCAACAAGATATTAAATAATTAGGTACAAACTAATACAAATGTGATTTTTGAAAAGTAAGGAAAATGTTATGGAAAACTGAATTTGGCTTTCGTGTTGACTAACTTAACTAAGGAACACAAAGTAGTAGAAAAGTAATCTTTTTATTTGGACAAGTCAAAATAAAAATTGAAAGAATCATGAATATTACTGGTCTTGACCTTCAAAGATCTGCCATTTTTACTGCAAGTGAGATAGAAAAATATTGAGAAAAATCTTCTAGACTTAACTATAGAGATTACTCCTTCTATAAAATAGCCAGAATAAATAGGAAGTCTATAATGACTGTAAAAAGAGAGATCATCAACTCCATCAGGGAAGTGTTAGATCTTGAAAAGGTTGTTTTAACATGGAAAAGCTACTTCAGGTATATAAAGCAGAAAAGAACAAGGAAAAGAAAAATGGGGTCAATATACAGTGGGTATATGTTGGAGATTAAAAGGGAGCTGGGAACTGCCCTCAAATAAATAAGCATTTTTCTGTCACTTTTCAATAGAATAATGATGTCTGGTAAAGTATGTCCTATGGAAATCATCTCCACTGATACAAAAGACTTTCTCTCATCCACTAAGTAAGAAAAATTAGTGTAGTAATTGTAACACAGTTGCTTATTCAAATGTATAACTATTTATGGCAACACATTAAGCTAATTTAAATTCTAGCAAATTCAGTTTCACCCATTGTTAATAGCCTGGAATTACAGAAGCTGTTGAGAATTCATATGTCCCCTGGTTCTTTTTTTGATAGTAAGAATATCCAATTCACCCCATTTCTTTCGAGTGGATTATTCCTCACTCCAAAATCAGTGAAAGTATTAATCAGCTTTTCCAAATGAATGAGTTTGAATTTCTTTATTTCCTCTTCCCTTAAAAGTTCAGTTAAAAAAACTGAGCAGGCTGCTAAATGGGTGATTTGAAACTTTCTCTTTTCCCCATGGGGAGTGAAAAGATATATGGGAGGACAGATTCTTCTCTTTGTGCTCTGTATGTTCAGCAATATAAAAACAAAACCTCCTGAGAGCCAGAGCCTTGTCTCTGAAGCATACATCTCCTTTTGCAAAAGTTGTACTAACAGAGAAAGATTTCTTTCTATTTTTACAGAGTCTTCAGAAAAAAAGGAGCAAAAAAACCCAAAAAACCATTAAAAAACCCCCAAAAACAACAACAAAAACCAAAAACAACTACAACAAAAAACCCAAAACCGCAAACAAACCTAATGCAGAAAAGGGATTATAGTACAGCATATGATATGCTATGATATGATAAACAAAGACACAAACTTCTATATAGACAGTGTACATGTATGTATGCATCTTACATACTCTTAAAACATTTGGATTTAAAAGATTACAGTGGATCCTTGCTGCATTTTTACAGGTTTCTTTCAAAAGGGGCAGCTTGTAACTAAAAATTTGGATATGAAAATTGCCAATCTACTTTTGAAACAGAAGTAAAAGAAATATGACTTTCTGGTTACTTTTTGAATGTTTTAGGAGGAATTAGTTATCTTAGTTTCTACTCTGAGAAAACAATTATATACGCAAACACATATCCAGGAAGAATCAAGTTTTTCCCTTTTATGATCTATCATTGGGAAAAATGAACCACAACATTTTAAGTCAGCATTCAACAATAAGCAAAACATGAGCATGAACTCTGAAGGAAACCATAACTAAGGAGATTAAAGTAGTGAAAAATGTCTAAAACCAGGGAAAGTCTCCTGGTTGTATATTTTACTATAGATTTTACAAAGAAACCTTAATTAATTTAAAGATAGACTTTACTTGGTCTGGGAAAGGAAATAAATGAAGGAGATGCCTGATAAGACAGACAACCCTTTTCACTTCTATCTACCAAAGACATGACATACCTCTGGTGGGTTATTGAACCAACTATTCACCACAACCTCCCATGGGGATTATTTCACTTGGTATAACCCAGCAGATCTTCAGTATTGCCTGCATCGTTCAGGAGCTGGTGGAAAGATGCTCAGCAAGGAAATGAAGAAATATGATCTGACACCAAGTGAAATCCCTGACTAAGTCAGGTAAACTATTTCTTTCTTAGTCCACTTTAGGTTTGTTAAAGACCTAGCTCCTCACAGTGTTCACTTCTTCTGAACTGATGAGTTCTTTGGTGACAAACTGACTTCAGTGCAAGGGGAAATAAGTATTTTAAGGGCCATACAGGAACAATCCAGGTCTCCAGGGCATTGTTTAGTGACATAAATGCATAGGTTTTTTGAGATGGTCTGACTTTCTAACACCTCATATCCAAATTCCTGTAAATTCCACCCAGTCTTTACACGCTTCTGAGCTATACTAAATTTCCAGAATGCTTTTTAGGTGAAACTTTTCTAGTAAGATAGACAAATGTCATGACTCTCTTTGAAGAAACTGCAGTTTATCCCAGTTTTCTCGTACCAAATTTGTTCTTTCTCTACAAGACTCTCTTCTATTTACTGCTTGGCTGCTGCTTTTAAGCCCAAAAGTAAACACATTTTTATAGAGCTGTCTAGATGCAGTATTGTTTGTGAAAGTTCTGTGGAAATTAAGTACGTATTATTGTTGTAGTAGTAGCAGTAGTACTAGTAGTAATGATGATGATGATGATGATGAAAACTATTATTATTATTATTATTATTATTATTATTATTATTATTATTATTATTATTATTATCATTATTATTATTATTATTATTATTATTATTGTTCTCTATTAGGAAAGATGATAAATATATATTATGATATACCCAAGTGATG